CAATAATAGCAGCCATAAATTTATCTAAGTTAAATAACGACTTTATAACTGATGCAACATAATTTAAAAAGTTGTTAATGTATTTTTACCGTTCCCATAATTAATACATAATTTTCCTACGTATACTACAATTATGGAATATAGAAAAATTGTTAAAAAAAGAAAATAGGCCAAGATGTACATAATTCAAAGTGCTTATCACTTCGCCTCGATCACGCGTAATGAAGACAAATTGAAGTTACTTACTCAGGTCAGCAAGATTGAGAAGAACGATTTCGCCGTTAAGGTTAGATTATTCATAATTTTCAGAATAACTTAAAGCTGTGTACTAAATATAATAAAAAGTGCTTCGACTTAAAATCTAAAGAAATCTAATCAGGGTGTATTGTTGATGTTAAAACTTATATTCTAGCTTTAGTCCTCGACTCCTGTCCTCGTGGAATTAAAAAAAAAGAAAAAACAGTAGTCTATGTGTTCTTGCAGCCTATCCTTCACCTCTCTGCTAAATCTCATTGAGATCCGTTCTGCCGTTTAGGCTACAAATCCTAACAAACATCTATCCATCCACCTAAACTAACGCATTTATATTATTAGTGAGGCAGTAATATTTGTATTGTGTACATTTTGATATGCATAAAAACGTATTAAACGTAATTGTGAAATTTTTGTAACCATGAAATAAAGAGGCTGTCCATTTATTACATTAATTTCCTTCAAAATTTATTCTTAAGCATCATCCAGCTACCGCCATCTTGAATAAAATAATTATTCTCATTCAAAGTTTTCTTACTGTACCTTTTGGAGTGCTTAACGGTTTGTTAACAATACCAAAAATAATCAATAATGTAAGCATGCACCCAGAAAAGTTTAAAGGAAAGTGAAAATAAGCGCCATCTCTTAGCCAGTGTCCCGAGTTTAAAAGCAGTTAAAGGTATTACCGAAAGATGTCGCTAACAGGCAAGAAGCATTTGTGGCTTCGTTCAGTTTCGAATTGCCTCGTTAGATGGCGCTTTTCCAGTATCACATTTTTACAAATTCTTTATCGTGACGATTTGTGATGCTTTGTCGACTCTTCGGTCTCAAATAGTTTAGCAAAGCCTTACATTTAGAAAACCTAGCTATTTAGTGTACTACAACTTACCTAAATATGTAAGATTTAAAATAGTGTAACTAAAAAGTTCTCGGAAATAGTGGAGCACTATAAGTGATAATTATTTTTGACTACAGAGACATTCAAAATAATTTATTGGTTATTAAAGGATTTTGTTGCAGTGTCCACTTACATTTCAACGTTATTTTGTACTCAAATCGGAATGAAAATGAATCAAAAGTCTAATTATAAACAAAAAATGCAACTCATTTTCACTTTTCTTTCCCATTTTCACATTTATATATTATACATCTTTCTGGATATTCTCATTTATTTGTAGAAAACAGGCATGGAATAGAAATAACATTGTTTATTTTCAAACAAAGAGTAATTACGAAGACTATTTGAGTTCGCTAAGCCCCGTGTACGGCGCGGCGTTATTCCCTGAACTATTCGTTCAACATTTTGCATGCAATTTGTAGACTAGGATCATGACGGAATAAAGCCATTTGACTTTTATGTCATCACAGTTTTGATTTAATGCTTTCAATGGATTTTATACACGGTGAAATGTAAGAAGGGAAAAGCTTTTCTGTTGTATAGACTAGCAAACATATCAAAACATAATAAAACAGATAATACGCAACTTCGAAAAATCTAACGGTTATCCATATTTTTTTTATTATTTGGATCTAATTTTACTTAAAGTAATTTCCTACCTCCTTAAAAAATTTCAGTATTTTTATGTCGAAACCCATGATTTATATTTTTTTCCAGTATGTAAACAAACATCACTATTAATCACAACAGATAGCGCTTACTTAAAAACAATAAAATACCAAAGCTCTTGTACTAAATATAACTGGCTCCTCCGTTATACACCACAGAATAAGTTTAACATAGCCGCACTGGTATTAAGCAATTACATGCAAACTTGCGAAAACTTTAAAGGAAAACAGAAAACGCCAAACAATGTTTTACCTCCTCGTATTTGCAATTCAACGAGTTTGAAATTACTTGGCGACATTATCATTTCTGGTGGCTATAAATTCCAATAATTTTTATATAAACATTCAATGTTTGAATTTTACGAAGAAAAATCTCTTGATACTTTGCCTTCAAATTATAATGTACAAGCTTACGCCAGCGATTCCGTTCGCGTGAAATTAAATAAAAATAAAAAAGAAGCCTATGAGTTCTTCCAGACTGTGCTCTTCATTTATACCAAATTTCATTGAGGAACTTTCAGCTGTTTGCGCTACAAACTCTAACAAACATCCATCGATCTAAACTTTCGCATTTATAACATTAGAATGAATATGATGTTAATGGTGTTCATTGAAAGTAGTAAATAAACAAATAAAATGACTACCTAAACAAAATAGCATCATTTGATGGATTCAAACTACAATAGAACACATAGTCCTTAGGGAAACATCAGCAGAAGGTCTAATTGCTGCGTCCCAGCCGGCCGGCATCGCAAACGGAATCAAGCTAGGAGTAATTCACGAGGTCGGCGACGAACGTATAGAGGACAAATCTTTGTGTTACTAACGACAACTCTATTTGCTTTTGCATACTACTGTAATCAAGTCACTATGGTTATGACAATAGTTATCACTACACTAGCTTTCGCCCGCGGCTCCGTCCGTGTAGAATTAAAAAAGAAACAAAAGTGAGTAGACTATAACATGTTCCTTCTATCTATCCTCTACGTCTATACCAAATTTTGAACGGTTTAGGGTACAAACTTTAACAAACATCCATCCATCGATTTAAACTTTCGCATTTATAACTTTAGTAAGATAATACTTTAACACAAGATAATGAAGACCAAATGTTTATTTGTAAAACATAAAAAAACAATTGAATTTATATGAAAGAATGGCGGCTATTGATATGCTCTCCGGTTGTTAACTGGCAACTAGTACTACCTAACTTTAACAATGAACGATAAAAAAATTAAAAACGCTTCAAAAGTTCCAACAGCAAAGCATTCATATGAGAATTTTTAAGCAGAACAATTTTATGTACATTCGAGTAGATTAATTGGTATTGCAAGTAATTGGGCACTTAATTTTTTCATTGATTCAAACTGAAATAATAGATTTTTATAGTTTAAGTGACGTTACAGACAAAAGCACTCGAATAATGTTCAACTCTACTATTTTTTCAACAATAAAAATAGATAAATGAATCAGAGCGAAAACAAACAATTTGTTAGGACAGAAAACGAGTGCAAAAATTTATATTTGTCGATGTTAGCATACGATAAACTAGAAAAAAAATAGATTTTAAAAGCTTTATGTACGATCACTTGATACGGGAAATTTAGAAGAGCTAAAAATGTGTGAATAATTTTAGAATCGTACACCATATGCCCCGAGTTTACTTTGAAGTCGTTCAATTATGCAAAGCCACCATTCGTTAGCAGATTTTGGGTAATTCAGCGAATTTCGTGGCGATTTTATGCTAATCAGCTTAGTGTCCGTTATTTATTATGCTACATGCTTACAAACACTCTGCCGCTATAATGTGCCGCTTCACTGATAACGTTATTTCACGCAATTAATTGCAGAACTCACTGCTGTTATGATTTAAAGCGGAATTAATTCCGCTGAAGTGATTTGTTTAAGGGTTATTTTGTGTTTAATGCAAATAGCGATAAACCCTTTATGCGTAACGGCATTACGTCGCATTCAGCTGTTTCACTTTCAATAACGATGCATTTGACCATTATATAAACCATTTCTTTGTGGGTGAAAGCAGATCCATATTCAATGTTGAATTTGTTCTATCCTATCTAAGTTGAGAAATAATTTCGGAGTTTTTTATTTTTATACTACAGGGGATTGTAATCACAGGTTATCGCAAATAATCGGCAACGCAAAGACCAGTACGTGACTGGGTCATGTAGGAAAAGGCAAGGGGAGTTTGGTGAATCGATATTTTCTATGTTTACAAATACTCTGACAAGGGTAAACGTTATTTTATATCGCATGTTTTACTGAAGATTTTTGTTACATTTATTTTAAAACTAATTTTTGCCCGCGACTTAATCCGCGAATATAATTCAAGAAATAGGTTTAGTACTTTTTGAGTTTATTTGTTATATAAAAAAATACAAATCTTTCTTCTTTATAATAGTACAATAGCATAGATTGTCTTTAAATAGAAGGACGAAAGATTTGTGTTGTGTGACGTTTTCTTTACGATGATTGGTTATTGGATTTACTAGTAGATTTCTTATTAGTGAATAACAATCAGTCATATTGTTTGTTGATCGTAGTGTAAGTTCAATTATGCGGTATCAGATTTCATTTCCATTACCCGCAGTACATGCTATGCGAGGCTATCCGTTCGTATTCCGGTGTGGGTCTATTACGGCGCAGCGCACGGCATTGGGCGTCACTGCGACGGCTCGTCGCCACAAAACTGAACAATTTTCTGATACCAATCTGACACGAAATGATTACGTATGATATACCATTTATATTACCATTTGTCAAACTTTACGTGTTGGCCATATTTATAAAAGTTTATCAAACGTTTTATTTGATTACTCTACGTTTGTAGGATCAATTAAGCTTCGAAAATTGTATGAAACTTTGATAATTCCAAACAAGTACGACTTAGGGTCCTTCAAGGAACGAGCCTACAATTTCCTCAAAAGCCGGCCACGCCTCTGTAGTTCCTCTGGTGTTGCATTGTCTACAGATGTCTGTTATAAAAAAAATATTTTCCTATCACCATGGATAAACTTTATAATATAACAATTCCTAAAGTCCTAACCTCCATGGGGAATCCTCAACCCTGCTGTATTTAAAAGATCAATAAAATCACGTGTGAAGTCACTAATTTATTAAAAAATACGATAGCATAATTTTTAAAGTTTTAATCTTTGTTTCAGATGTCAAGAGGAAAGTCAAAGGCTCAAGGTAGGTACGACGTGAGCTCTAATAAGTGGTATTACCAGGATGGTCCAACACAATACGTCGCTACTCTACAATTACGCTGTAAGCGTTTAGCATTATTAATTCAGCGAGTCGGTGTTTCTGCACCTAGCAGGTAGACAGTAATGACACACCGACAGAATATAGATGTAGTTATTTTTGTCCAGTACACCTCTATGCTCTAGGGTTGTATAATTGTAAGTTAATTAATTTAAATTATATGTACTGTATTCCAGTTGTTGTACAAAATAACTGTTGCAATCGAAGTTAACTAATAATTACTTTAAGTCCTTACCTTAAACTATGCGTGGGAATAATCAAATCAAACTGTGGGACCTCCTAATCTATTAGAGGTTTTATTAATGGTACATTAAATAAAATAAAGGAAAATAAGCCTTTATTGCTGTTCTTAAATTAAAGTAATGTTCCAAATTTAATATTTACATCGTCATCACCAGCTCACTATACGTCCCCACCGAGGGGCTCGGAGCCTACCCCATAGCTAGGGTGACTAGGCCATAGTCAACCACGCTGGCCAAAAATTTACACGCTATCTAATATTTAGGGAGAATTTATGTGAGAATCATAATCATACTTCATACTCATATTATAAATGCGAAAGTTTAGATGGATGGATGGATGGATGTTTGTTTGTTAGAGTTTGTAGTCTAAACGGCTGAATGGATTTCTATGAAATTTGGTATGGATATAGAGGATAGTTTGGAAGGACACATAGGCTACTCACTTTTGTTTTTTTTTAAATCCACGCGAACGGAGTCGCGGGCGAAAGCTAGTGATAAACTAAAAGAAACCAAAGCTTAAGTTAAATACATGGTTATTCACTTTTACATTTTTCATGGAACTGGATTCCTTTTACTATAAATCGTGTAGTTAAGATTATCACATACGGGTCTTTGTAAATTGTCGAACGGATAAAGGTATTTTCCTGATTGGCTAGACTTCGTCCCTTGAGGCGACCACTTTCCTCTTTCGATCGCTGCGACGGCCAAAGTTTCATATTTCGATTTCATGTTTCTCTTTTTCTTTTTAAAATTCCTCGTTAGACGTTTGTTGCCTTAGGGCACATTCATGGCCACGAATAAACAGTGTTACAATAATGGTTGAGAACGTTTTTTTGTTTTTAAAAGTAACAGAATTTACGGTTTATCGCGCTGTTAAGTATGATTTAAAAGTTCTTTACTCGTTAATTACCAGCTTTTTTATTTCGATTCTTTCATTTTAAAAATTACAATTAATTATTTCTTTCTCTAACAATTTTTATTTGTTCTACTAAATCTCTTTGATTGAAAAATGTTTATTTATTTAACATAGGAAGCCAACGAATCACATGAAACCAATTAAAGTTTGTTGAGAAAAAAACACAATATGATGGAAACACTCACAGGCTAACACAGTTAAGTTATTTTATTCTATGTTATTCTATCTAAATTACCTCAAGTTGTGATAAGAAATATAGGTAACTAGCTTTCACTCGCGACTTTGTCCGCGTGTAATTAAAAAAAAACAAAAGTGAGCATATGTGTTCTTACAGAATATACTATACGTCTATGCCAAATGTGATCGAAGTCCGTTAAGTCGTTAAAGCTACAAACTCTAACAAACATCTATCTATCCATCTTAATTTTTGCATTTATAATATTAAGTAAGATGGCAAAGGCAGTCTGTATGTATCAGCAAATTATCACATTAAGTTTTTAATATGTGTACACTACGCTTTGAGCGACATTCGAAATTCCCTTTAATTAAAGAGAATATTATAACGTACTAATACTAATTTTCTATCACTTGTTCCCGAAGGCCTTTGTGATCGTCTCAGTTATTAAGGTTCAAAGGAAAGTGAGCAGACCTTCGCCCGAGACTACGTGCGAATCAATGGCGTGGAAAGGCTTTATCGATTTTAAACTACCCTCATATTGCAGTTTGTTAAACCTACATTGTCATTGGCTTTAAGAGAATGTTTCATATCGTATAACATTCCAAATATGGTTTGAATAGCTTTGAATAAAATATACTGAAATTGTAATTAGATCATTTGGAATCGCGTCTAAATATTTGATTACATGAAACCGCTTAATTAAACAAACACGGTCATTAGATTTATTAATATAGTTATGTTATTAAATTGCTAATGTGGTATAACGGCCTTGTTTTAGTGGGAAATTTAACTGCGTACTGATGCAAAGTAAATTTCATAGTCAAATATTGAACACATCACCAAATGCCAAAATGGTAACAACAAAGCGACTTACAGCGGGCGCAAATCTTTGACTGAACTATCGCACAACTGTTGTGCGATTGTCAATTGTTTCGCAGCTTATTCAACTGTTTAGTTGCACAACTAAAAATCGAGCAGTGTGCACACCTTCATATAAGGTCACAGGAATCAAAGCGAGACTAAGCATAGATAGTTAGAAATGGGCTACCGAGCTATATAAGTTATAACATAAAAAAACATGAGATTGATAAATTAAAAGAACTCTACTGTGTAAATAAAATTCTCCAATGTTGTTGTTTTTAATTCATAATATTTTAACATCGAAAATTGCTCTCGAATTTTGTAGAGATAAAATTTTAATGAAACTATTTTAATAAGCGTATCGAAAATGAAAATCTGATGAATGACACTAATTACGAACGTCGGAATTCGATTTATAATGTATTTTAAATACATTTACGCCAGAGGACGTAAGTGAAACAGATTGTTGAAACGATGATTAATGTTTATTTATGGATTAAAACATTCGTTCAATCTTAAAGTGGATTTTCACTACCGCAACAAGTGTACAAAATATATTCTTGATGCTCTACACTTGTGATTATTAGTTAGAGAGCGAAATTAAAATAAAAACTTAAGAAGTAGCCTATATCCTCTCTTAGATTTTGTTCTATATTTGAGCTAAATTTCGTCGCTATCAAACAAAAGTCAATAGCTCCATCTCTACATTTAAACATTCTCGTTTATAACTCCACCTAAGCGCTATGTTAGTGGCGACTAGATGGCTCAATAACTAGCTTAACTACTACACTATCTCTAGTCAACCAATATTTTCCAAAACATTAATTTCTTCCCATTAAAATCTATCAGAAGTTTAATCGATAAAACACAAGTCAACGCGACCGTCGCAACTGAATTAACATTTAATTACACCCCCCAACTGACGTGATTGCATTTCCTGGTACTGACATCGGAGTTTATTATTTTGCCAATTCCAAGCGATATTAAATTCTTGCAAGTGAAACTGGGGCGTGCCTTGTTTAAACTATTAACGTTGTGTATAATGAATCAAATTTGAAAACACGAGTGGAACACTTGACACAGAAATTCATAAATAATCGACTTAAAAAAATGGAATTGCATTTATAAAATTTTTTGGCATTAAAATTCTAAGAAACATTTCAATACCATAATTTTAATTTAGAGAGTTAAACTTGAATAAAAGCAAGTGCAAATTTAGTAATAAAGGATAGGAAATAGGAAGCATTTAGCCATTTACACTTTCCCTCCACTCGGTGCGCTATTATGACCATTACCAGTTCTTTTTCAGATTTAAGTTTCGCCTTTAGAGCCTCTAAAGGCAATTAAAAGAAAGAGGATTAAAGTGAGAGCAGCAATTTAGTTGATTGTAGAAAAGATAATTGCTGAATTGCGACTCTATTGAAGCGTGAACAAATGATATAGTTTTCTACGGAATTGTCTGCTGTAATACAATTATCAAGCTAAGAAGTATCATCGTTATTTCTAGTTATTTTATAAGTTTAGAATTTATAGGTGGAATTTAATAAGCGGATAAAATTGTCCAATATCAATACCACATACTAATTTTAAAAACATCATAAGTAAACATAACAAGTATTCAATGATAATGTTTACTAATGTTATTAAAAAGAAAAAAACTATATTTTTAAAGTTTATTACGTATCGAAACAATTCAAAAACTACTACGCCGATTTCAGGAATTCTTTAACTATTATAAAGCTATGTTTTCACTGAGTAACATAGGCTATACATTTTTTAATTTCGCGCGAACGATGTCACGAGCTAGTTCTATATAAATTCAAACTACGTAAGCACTCAATAAATCGCAATAACTTTCAGAATATGCAAATGAACTGTGTTGGACACTACCAACTCACAAACTTATCAATTTCTCAAAATCAAATCTTCAATAACAGCGGAATGTGAACTTCGACAGATGTCAAAGTTTGGTAAAGTCGTGCCTCCCTACGTCAGGTTCACTGCAGCGAAATTATAAGGAAATTTGTTGAAGAATTCTTCACACGACGCGACCTCAGGTGCACCGAGAGCACTCACGGGAACTTAGCCGATCAGTGCATTCAAAGTGCATCTATAGACCAAGAAGTCTCGAATTTTAAACACATATTTGGTACTTTTTTTTGTAATTTTTAAGCCCTATATGTAGTTTAAAGTATGTTAACACGGAAACAATGTTTAAATGTATATTTATTGCTGCCATCTAAACACAATTTGCAATAAAGAACTTAACAATATATTACTTAACAAGATGGCTATTTTATAAAACAAAAACCTTGAAAACGTAATAGTTACGAAATTGAATTATCAAATTAGTCGGAAAGTACCAGTATAAAATTGAAATATTCTCATGTGTGTTGTACACATTTAGATTATTAAAATAATTACAGACACGATTGTAAAGAGAAATTACAGTATTTAGACCCAGTCATTATTACTTTGTACAGTTTCTACGTAATTGAAAGACATGGAAAATAAACAAACAAACCCGTCACAGTCGAATTGTGTTAAAATAAAGTACTGACAAGTCACAATTAAGCTTATTAGGATTTAATTGGTAACATTGATATTTTTGACAAATAAATGTATTCTTTTACAGACTTAATTAAAGGTTATTAATTACTTCGACTGGGTTTTTAATTTTTCTAATTACCGATTCTTTTATTGACTTGTAGTTAATTATTGTATTCAA